GCGGGTTGACCTGTGAATGGTTCGGGTGGGTCTTGTTTTACTTGTAGGCTGGAAGTTCGACCCCAGTGAAGCATAGGGAAAGCCCGAAGCACACTCTCGAAGCATACTCCCAAGCAAACCCTTTGAAATGCACGGTGGATAATACCACCACCACTACCACCACCAGCTGAAGTCGTGAAGGGTTGCAGTCTTTTTCAAGTGAGAATCGGCCAGTGAAGTGAAAGTTGGCGAGTGTCCTTCACACCTAATTTTACAATGCCCCTTGTTTCCTGTGAGATTAACCGAGAAGCGCAGCGCTCTCTGGGACACATTTTATGTGTGATGCTGTTTTTTGCCTTTGCAGTATGAATGACCAGTTAGTTCGGGGGTGTTAGGGGGTGATGACGCTGCTGGAATAGATTCGAGCATGGCTTGTATGTGGAGACCTTGCGAGGGCTAGCCAGTCATTTTATCCTTTTAGAAGCAACCACCAACCTGTTGCAACTGCGCCAGAATTGGTTGCCCTCGAGGCCTCATTGCATTACCAGCGTGCAGCATTGAGGTTTGTTGCCTCAACCAGCAACCGCCTGGATCAACTTGCGAAACAGAATCCAAAAACCGGATATGGCCATTAACCGGTACATCAACGTTTGATGGTGAAGAAGGTCCGTGCAGCTTGGCACTTGTTACTAGCGGCATGATTGTAGCAATGTGGCTCACCTAATATCAGCTGGTCTGTTCCACCGTTTCTACGTCTGTGCCTCGCGGCCTGCGCGGACCTGGCGTCTGCCCGGAAAAGCGCTGATGACGCTGGAGACCTTGCGGCGTCTAGCCAGTCATTGCATCCAGGCAAATCTGTTTGAAGCAACTACGACTGTCCTCGAAACAGCAGCCCCTTGCTGCTAGAAGGGCGTTTGAACGCGCTTCTCAAGACTAACATGTTTTCCTTTGGCTTCCTTTTGGAAGCGTTAAACATGGGGCATTATGGACCCATAGTTTTGAGAAGCCGAGAAGCTCTCACGCCTTTGAGAGTTCGTGGGCAGATGACCTATTGACCCCATTTCTCCGGCTTGTGGCTTGAAAGAGAACTGCACTTCTCATTTTCTTTTGGGACGGCCTTTCACCTGAGAGTTCGTTCGAGTCACGATCCGAGTGCTTGGAGTGGAGTCTCCTGCACCGGCGGCACCGGCTTAATGGCCGCGTCTGAATCTGATCAGGCGAGACGTCAAATGACAAGATAATCGAGCATCAATTCAACCAGGCTTTGCCATGTCTATGTCTTGGGTGTTGTAGGATAAAGCCCCCCTTCTCGCGGATGGCTGACCGCCTAAGTATCTTGTAACCTAACGAGCCGACGATTTTGCGGGTTGACCTGTGAATGGTTCGGGTGGGTCTTGTTTTACTTGTAGGCTGGAAGTTCGACCCCAGTGAAGCATAGGGAAAGCCCGAAGCACACTCTCGAAGCATACTCCCAAGCAAACCCTTTGAAATGCACGGTGGATAATACCACCACCACTACCACCACCAGCTGAAGTCGTGAAGGGTTGCAGTCTTTTTCAAGTGAGAATCGGCCAGTGAAGTGAAAGTTGGCGAGTGTCCTTCACACCTAATTTTACAATGCCCCTTGTTTCCTGTGAGATTAACCGAGAAGCGCAGCGCTCTCTGGGACACATTTTATGTGTGATGCTGTTTTTTTGCCTTTGCAGTATGAATGACCAGTTAGTTCGGGGGTGTTAGGGGGTGATGACGCTGCTGGAATAGATTCGAGCATGGCTTGTATGTGGAGACCTTGCGAGGGCTAGCCTGTCATTTTATCCTTTTAGAAGCAACCACCAACCTGTTGCAACTGCGCCAGAATTGGTTGCCCTCGAGGCCTCATTGCATTACCAGCGTGCAGCATTGAGGTTTGTTGCCTCAACCAGCAACCGCCTGGATCAACTTGCGAAACAGAATCCAAAAACCGGATATGGCCATTAACCGGTACATCAACGTTTGATGGTGAAGAAGGTCCGTGCAGCTTGGCACTTGTTACTAGCGGCATGATTGTAGCAATGTGGCTCACCTAATATCAGCTGGTCTGTTCCACCGTTTCTACGTCTGTGCCTCGCGGCCTGCGCGGACCTGGCGTCTGCCCGGAAAAGCGCTGATGACGCTGGAGACCTTGCGGCGTCTAGCCAGTCATTGCATCCAGGCAAATCTGTTTGAAGCAACTCCGACTGTCCTCGAAACAGCAGCCCCTTGCTGCTGCAAGTAACGCGCTTCTCAAGACTAACATGTTTTCCTTTGGGCTTCCTTTTGGAAGCGTTAAACATGGGGCAGTATGGACCCATAGTTTTGAGAAGCCGAGAAGCTCTCACGCCTTTGAGAGTTCGTGGGCAGATGACCTATTGACCCCGTTTCTTCGGCTTGTGGCTTGAAAGAGAACTGCACTTCTCATTTTCTTTTGGGACGGCCTTTCACCTGAGAGTTCGTTCGAGTCACGATCCGAGTGCTTGGAGTGGAGTCTCCTGCACCGGCGGCACCGGCTTAATGGCCGCGTCTGAATCTGATCAGGCGAGACGTCAAATGACAAGATAATCGAGCATCAATTCAACCAGGCTTTGCCATGTCTATGTCTTGGGTGTTGTAGGATAAAGCCCCCCTTCTCGCGGATGGCTGACCGCCTAAGTATCTTGTAACCTAACGAGCCGACGATTTTGCGGGTTGACCTGTGAATGGTTCGGGTGGGTCTTGTTTTACTTGTAGGCTGGAAGTTCGACCCCAGTGAAGCATAGGGAAAGCCCGAAGCACACTCTCGAAGCATACTCCCAAGCAAACCCTTTGAAATGCACGGTGGATAATACCACCACCACTACCACCACCAGCTGAAGTCGTGAAGGGTTGCAGTCTTTTTCAAGTGAGAATCGGCCAGTGAAGTGAAAGTTGGCGAGTGTCCTTCACACCTAAGTTTACAATGCCCCTTGTTTCCTGTGAGATTAACCGAGAAGCGCAGCGCTCTCTGGGACACATTTTATGTGTGATGCTGTTTTTTTGCCTTTGCAGTATGAATGGCCAGTTAGTTCGGGGGTGTTAGGTGGTGATGACGCTGCTGGAATAGATTCGAGCATGGCTTGTATGTGGAGACCTTGCGAGGGCTAGCCAGTCATTTTATCCTTTTAGAAGCAACCACCAACCTGTTGCAACTGCGCCAGAATTGGTTGCCCTCGAGGCCTCATTGCATTACCAGCATGCAGCATTGAGGTTTGTTGCCTCAACCAGCAACCGCCTGGATCAACTTGCGAAACAGAATCCAAAAACCGGATATGGCCATTAACCGGTACATCAACGTTTGATGGTGAAGAAGGTCCGTGCAGCTTGGCACTTGTTACCAGCGGCATGATTGTAGCAATGTGGCTCACCTAATATCAGCTGGTCTGTTCCACCGTTTCTACGTCTGTGCCTCGCGGCCTGCGCGGACCTGGCGTCTGCCCGGAAAAGCGCTGATGACGCTGGAGACCTTGCGGCGTCTAGCCAGTCATTGCATCCAGGCAAATCTGTTTGAAGCAACTACGACTGTCCTCGAAACAGCAGCCCCTTGCTGCTGCAAGGGCGTTTGAACGCGCTTCTCAAGACTAACATGTTTTCCTTTGGGCTTCCTTTTGGAAGCGTTAAACATGGGGCATTATGGACCCATAGTTTTGAGAAGCCGAGAAGCTCTCACGCCTTTGAGAGTTCGTGGGCAGATGACCTATTGACCCCGTTTCTTCGGCTTGTGGCTTGAAAGAGAACTGCACTTCTCATTTTCTTTTGGGACGGCCTTTCACCTGAGAGTTCGTTCGAGTCACGATCCGAGTGCTTGGAGTGGAGTCTCCTGCACCGGCGGCACCGGCTGAATGGCCGCGTCTGAATCTGATCAGGCGAGACGTCAAATGACAAGATAATCGAGCATCAATTCAACCAGGCTTTGCCATGTCTATGTCTTGGGTGTTGTAGGATAAAGCCCCCCTTCTCGCGGATGGCTGACCGCCTAAGTATCTTGTAACCTAACGAGCCGACGATTTTGCGGGTTGACCTGTGAATAGTTCGGGTGGGTCTTGTTTTACTTGTAGGCTGGAAGTTCGACCCCTGTGAAGCATAGGGAAAGCCCGAAGCACACTCTCGAAGCATACTCCCAAGCAAACCCTTTGAAATACACGGTGGATAATACCACCACCACTACCACCACCAGCTGAAGTCGTGAAGGGTTGCAGTCTTTTTCAAGTGAGAATCGGCCAGTGAAGTGAAAGTTGGCGAGTGTCCTTCACACCTAAGTTTACAATGCCCCTTGTTTCCTGTGAGATTAACCGAGAAGCGCAGCGCTCTCTGGGACACATTTTATGTGTGATGCTGTGTTTTGCCTTTGCAGTATGAATGGCCAGTTTGTTCGGGGGTGTTAGGGGGTGATGACGCTGCTGGAATAGATTTGAGCATGGCTTGTATGTGGAGACCTTGCGAGGGCTAGCTTTATCCTTTTAGAAGCAACCACCAACCTGTTGCAACTGCGCCAGAATTGGTTGCCCTCGAGGCCTCATTGCATTACCAGCGTGCAGTATTGAGGTTTGGTGCCTCAACTAGCAACCGCCTGGATCAACTTGCGAAACAGAATCCAAAAACCGGATATGGCCATTAACCGGTACATCACTGTTTGATGGTGAAGAAGGTCCGTGCAGCTTGGCACTTGTTACCAGCGGCATGATTGTAGCAATGTGGCTCACCTAATATCAGCTGGTCTGTTCCACCGTTTCCACGTCTGTGCCTCGCGGCCTGCGCGGACCTGGCGTCTGCCCAGAAAAGCGTTGATGACGCTGGAGACCTTGCGTGGAAGTTGACTTCCATGATTGCTGGAAAACAGGGTCCGTATTTTTGTCTTACTCAGTTGGTGAACTTGATAATTTTTGGGACGATTGTTTTAGTTGCACACAAAAAGTGTGCTTTCCTTCCGAATCCACCGAGGAATGCCCCCCTTTGGATTTCTTCAGGAAACCTTGGCCCGTTCCGCGAAGGTCCTGGAGGACGGAGTCTTCCTGAACGGCGAGCTCGCGGGCTTTTGCCACATCATGGCCCATGCCAAGGCGTGATCGCACAGGTTGCATCTCTGGAACCGAATGGTGAAGCATCGTTTCTTCATGACGCGACTTCGCGAAGTTTTGCCTTTGGCCTTTGCAAAAGCTGCCACGATGTTTTTTCTTCTGGCAATCGGTACCTTGAATACATTTATCTTTCAGGTCCCGAAATCTGCCATGTTAGGAGGAAACGTAACCTTTTGCAAAGTGAAACAGAGTTAATCACTCCGCACCCCCCAGCTGATTTCCCACGTCCCAAAGCAAGCGCACTGATTGGCGCGGTGTCTGGATTTATTAGGATCTGTTTGGGTTGAAGGATCCGCTGTTCCTTGCGAAGGCATCCTTTGATTTTGAATCTGTGATGTTGTCAATCCCGGACACTCAACTTCTGTTTGATGTTGTTTATGATGTCCGATAACATGTGTAAGGGATGGGTCACTGTAGCACGCCCCGGTTGTTTCGTTTTCGAACTGCCATACTTCCCTTAGACATGTTCCTTGGCTACTGGGCGGGCCCGGTTTCACCAGTCTTTGCTGTTCGGGGTCTGTAAGACAACATCGCCAAAGGTGCAGGTGCCTTCCCTGGCCATTGGGCAAGGTGGATAAATTTATCCAAGGCTCGTCTCAGAAGATACCAATGGTTCATTTGGGAGTTTCTCAGAATCGTGCGCTCTCTTTTGCTTGGAATTTGAAGGAAATCGCAAATGAACTAGCTGCCAATGGTGGGGCATCTCTTTTGAGAAACACCCGTTTAGGCACATGCCTTCCACACCAGCCCCAAAGGAACCACCTGTTTTGGGGAAGATGTTCAGGTGGATAATAGAAGAGCCCCTTCAATCCACGAGAGAGTCAAGCTGAGATTCCACGTGGGCTGCGTGTTCCGAGCCTTTCCGGAGATGGCTTCAGGCAACGACATAGTCCCAACCTAAGGTGTGGACATCCGGCCTTTCAATCATGCTGCTGGGTCCATTTGATGGCCCCTGCAGGTTCTCAAATTTCCAGATAAAAAAGAAAAAAACACCCGTAGTTGTGCAGGGCTCCTTAAGAGATACATTTTGCTCATTTGAAACATGGCTTTTTCCACCAAGAGTAAACGAACACCACCATTTACAAGGCAATGTTCAGGTGTGTAATGATCCCTGTTGTGCCGTCCAAGCTCACAGCGCTGATGTGGCTTGTCAGGTGGGCAAGGGCGCGGTCTTCCATCAGTTCACCACGCTGGGCTCCGGAGCCTTTTGTGCCATGCTCACCAAGGCGCGGTTCTTTCGTGTTCAAGGGCCCGGTTTCTTTCTTTCCGCTGAAGCCCACAAGGGGATGGATGTTTCTTCTGTTTATCAGTTGATGTTGTGTTTTATCAGTCGACTACCCCCTGCAAACCTCAAAAAAGGGGTGTATCGTCTGCCAAAGGAGATTCCGCTCCTCAAATCGAAAGGTGTTTTGTCAGATTTCATGTTCATTTCCACCAGTGCACTGCCATGTTCCTGACTTCCCTAGACCACTGGCTGTGGCTTCTCCAGGCCGCCTGACCCAGGCTGATCCAGAAATTAGTCGGGATTTTTAAGCCCTGCTTGCCTCCCCCACCACCCCCCCCCACAATTGTCGTGTTCATGATTTCCTGGGCCAGGCTTCGCCTTTCGGGTGTTTGATGGTTGCCAATGTAGGTGAGACTGTCCTTGAGTGATGCCGTGGTTAAACGAGCCCGACACAACATGAATCCAGGCTCGATGAACTGCAGTCTGAATTCCTCTTGAAAGAAAAGCTAGATTCGCATTGCTGGATCCGGGACCAGTACAGAAACCCCCAAAGAAGAAAAGAGAGAGGTTTTGCTCTAGTTTCACTTGAACAAGTCCATGGGGGCACCCTGCAATGTGCAAAGGATTTATGCGCTCTGGTGTCACATTTCTTTGAACGAATGTCTTGACGGTTTCTTGCTGGGCAATGGCTTGTTCCAGCTCGAGCCACGTGAAGGGTATCCAATGGATTGATCGGCTGAGCTGGTGTGAACAAGCCCCTATCCACTCGACGCCTCATATGTCTCAACTTGGTGGTGGTTTTCAGATGTTGTTTTTGGACGCATTTGCGATTAATTATTGGCCACATGTTGAAGTCATTAGTTTTGGGGCAGGTGATGTTCCACATCGTTGCACTTCGACTCACACGCGCTGTCTAAAGCGAACCTCCCCGCCTGCTTTTCTGCTTCCCTCGCTTGGCGGCGTCCTTATATGTCACTTTTTAGGAGGATTGACCATTGCTCTTCCTGGCCTTTAAAAGAAGGGTACATGGGTTTGGACGGGAATGGTCCTGGTGCAATGTTTGTGTGGACAACACACACGCAGTTTCTGTTGGTATTATGGCTGGTGGGGGGCCATAAACATCAAGCGCACGGCGAGTTCAGTTTGCCATCATACTCCCTGAATATTACTAGTCTGGAAGCCACAAGCAGGTACCCCCAAAGGACATTGATCAATTTGATGAGTGGTTAGTTGGTTCCACATTAATGTGCAGGCATGGTTGTGGACAGTTAAGCTTTATATAGGGCCACTTTCTTTGATACTAAGGAACCCCCTTTACAGTGGCGAAGCAGTCACAGGTATGTCGCAGTTGGCATTACAGAAAGCAGAGAGGCATTTGTTCGTAGTGTGTTTACAGGGATACACCCCAGTCAACATCAATAAATCGCGGCCCACATGTCCCAAAGGGACCCTCTGACTGCCACGAACATTGGACGCCACGTCTGTACTGTACCATTGTCCAAACCTGTTCAATGAAAGGAACATGGTGTATGTATCTGCCAGATGATAGTGATCTCACCTAAAGGTTTTAAAACGAGCTTACCCATGATGGAAGCCCTCTGCCAGGGGTTCTCTGGTTTGAGAACAGTTAATTCACCAGACGCGTGTGGTAATCCTTTGTGCCCGTGAGGCGGAAGCGAGACAAACAGCTTCGGCCGTGTCTTGACGGTCTGTTAGCCTAGACTCTTGAGGATACCCCAAGGTTGCTGCGAGCCCATGGGTGTGTCCGCTCATTGTGGACCTCTCAAACTGGTAGGTGCCTCTCTGACTTCACAAACAGGACCCTCCAAACCAGTTTCTTGGCCATGCCATCCTTTCCGGAAACCCCCTACCAACCCTGCACCTGCTAATCACGGAACACTGTGCTCCGCTTGCTTTTAGGAACAGACTCTTTTGTTGAACGCATTGCTCGCAAGGGTGAAAAATGAAAAAAAAGGATAGAGCGACCTAAGCGACCTGTCTGCAAACCCGCAACGACCACTCCCCATGGAGCCCGGGCCTTGACCATGAAAACGATTCCGCCAGGTTCGATTCGACGTGCTGCCCTTCTGCGTCTTTGACGAGCACGTGCTGCTAGTCGACCGCGTTGGGGGCGCTCAGAGCTTGTCCATGTCGCCGCTTCCAAGGGCCACTTATTTCCGGGTTTGTTGGTGTTGAATGCAAGCAAACCAACTCGCCGTTTGCAGTCTTCCACATTGTTTTTGAGATCACGTTCTCAACTGCTCCGTACCTTCTTTCAAAGCGGGGCCTGAGCTTTGGATGCGTGCGGTGGTGCAGCAGGACCGTGACACTCCGGCACTTTTTAGTGAAGGTAAGGAAGGAGGAAGGAGCCTTTCCTTCCGTTTCCTGGGGGAGGTTTTGCGGCTAGCGAGGTTGCAATTGTTGGTCCTGAAAAAGGACTGATGATGAAGCCCTCGAATCAGAATGTCGGCGATGGAGCTGTTGCACGGTTCGTTCAGCCTGGATTCCAGAAGCAGGAAGGCACTAGCGATTGTTACCTGGGGTAGTCGAGATGCGTACGGACCATTTCGTTGGGTATTTAGATAAGGGTTTCTACTAAGGAAACCATGACCACAACACATTTGATTTCAAGAATCATAAGTACGATTCAGGATGTCCAACTCGATTCGCTATTTACTCCCATGCTGGGAAAGGCCTCGGACTGACGTTTGCATGACCCTTTGCGGAGTCAATCTCCGGCTACTATCCTCAAGGGATGCTCAACAACCGATGAAACTCACAGAGATGCTTTGTTTCACGTTCTTTCACCTGACCATACATTTGTCTTGCTCTGGGCTTGATAGTGTTTGGCAAGACTGGTTTAGTGGCAGAGAAGTTGGCCTATCCACTAGTGATGTGTGCTGGTGTTCTTGAGTTTGCACAACCCCGATACGGATGGTTGCAGAACAACATTTTCTGGGTGAAGAAGGCAAACTCCGGGCGAAGTCGCTCTTTCGCAAGGGGCTCGGTCCAGGATGGGCTTGAGGGTTCCTTTGTCCACAACGGTCGGAAAAATTGTGTGGTCAGTCTCCGAATAAATAGGAGCCTCGTGGATTTGGACAATCACCTTGGATGTTGATCGGGGGTCCCATTTTGGAGGGGAACCAATTTTGGGGAATACCTGCCCTAAGGTGTATTGAGCCGGGGTCAAGATCAGCCCCCCAGAACGGATGGTGTCCTTTTAATGTTCGCTTGAGCAGATCTAACAAAGGCCAGATTCACGGCAAAAGAGACAGCCCCTTTTTGCGAGAGAGTAGTTTGTGGACTTTGCACTGTTTGGAAAGACCATGTTGGTGGCAACACACAGACAACAAGTTTGCACTTGTTTGTTCGCGAATCCACTCAGTAAGTACGCTAATAGTTGACATAAGGGATCAACAGTTTACTCCTATAAAGTCTTTTTCAAGCCCATTCAGCTCGACTTGGTAGAGCCCATGGTTGCAGGGGGGTATCAACTGGACAGTGCACAACTTTCTTGTGCTCAGCAGGTAATGAGGGAATGACCCTTATGAACCATCCCTTGGTGTTTCCTTTAAGGGGACTGGGTTCATTCCTGCATTCCCTACTGGCTGTGGGTCAAAACCAATGGGATCCCTTTTTGGGATATGCACCACCCATTTTAGAACCCATTTTAGTAGTTGGATTGAATTGAATGTTCACTGGGGGTATGACTTGGGTTTTGACCCAGTCCCTACTTGTCGCACCAAAACAACCTGTCAGGTGGCCCTTGCGCGGGACGGCAGGTCAGCGCAGGACGCTTTGGGCCGGTAACACTTTGAGGATCCATATCTCCCATTTTGACGAAGCGGAACCGCTGAACCAGCCCTTTTGGAGGGTTCCCTAGGTTTCTGATTTCTGTATAAGCCCCCCTAAAGGAAGTTGACTCGTCCCAAAGGTGATGCTCAAAACACCCACAAGGTCGGGTCAGTATTAGGCCTGGTTCGGAGGAATCCGTTGGAACAGGTTTTGCAAGGCAGTGTACGATCATGCAAATCAAGCAGCTTCAAGTGAATCTTGAACAGAGTTTCAGTCTCCCCCAATCACAAACTCATAGCACGTACCAGATGGCTTGGCGAACATGAGCAAGTTGTTTGCTCTTTGTTCCACCATTATTTCACGGCTGCAAGCGCTTGCTTTGGGAAGGGTTGCCCTAACACCGCAAGGTTCAGACTATCACACGGTGTGAATGGTCTACTTGAAGCCAGACAATGTCAAGAGCAAAGGATATCCGGAGAACCTTGGAATTGTGCCAGCAGTATATTCCACTGGCAACAAGTCTTTTCGCCAGACAGGCATAGTATGATACGTTCAGCAGGTGTTTTTGTTGTTTGAATATTGCATGAAGCCTACACCGGGAAATACACCAATGAGTCTTGCCTGGACTGTTCAAGAAGGAACGTATTGGGTCATTCCTTGCAGGCCAATGTGAAGTGTGTTGCGGATGCGATTGCCAGTTGATCACTGACATTCATGTCTAGCGCCGCGACCTGTGCCTTATTTCAGGATTTGATTTGTAGAATTCGCCAAACAGCCTCAAACTCATGTCCTGCGATTTCCTTACGGTGGATGGACGAAATCCTGCACCACTTTGAAACCATAGGAAACTCGTATTGGTTGGTATTTAGAAGGGAATTCCAGGGTTTCTCATGTGGTGCGTTGCATGGATTTCGCAACCATGCACAGTACAGCGCCCTCGCAAGTGGACTTGTTAGGAGGCAGATGAGCTGGACGCCTTCTACAGCCGCCACTTCTCTTCGCAGGCGTGGCGCGCGCTGAGTTTCTTTTGGGGAAGCCTCGGGTGTGTCGGTTTCATTTTTGGGGGGAGCTTAGGCCAGATGCGGTTGCTTTGCTTCTTGTCTTTGTGTCTTTTTTGGGGGGGTTATGCCGGTGTTAAGCCGGTGAAATTGACATGCTGGGTAGGCGGGTGTGGGTGCGCTTCTTGAAACTGGACATGGAATCCGTGCTAAATTGGTGATGTGCCCCATGTGAGGGGAAACTTGATAAGTGAAACTCGGAGCGCTCCATTCAGATGAGGATGTTTGCATGCAAGGCAATCGGGGCTCCCGAATCTGGGTTGGAAAGCAACAGCACCCAGCCATTTTGAAAGTGGCATTCTGAGACTCACTGCCATTACATGGATGTGTATCCCCGACTTTTTGGAAGCAAATTGCTTTTGCATTCTATACACATAGAAACGTTAGGCTCTCAGAACGAACCTGTTCCGAGGTGAGGAGCCTTTAATTTCCTCAGAGACGAAATCGGCCGGAATCAGTTTGGGTTGCTTCCAATGCGGTGCACTCCATTTCCACTTTCTCAAAGCGAATCGACCTTTGACATGTTTAGTTTCTCAATGTTGGTCCATTTTTGTCAAGGTTCTAAACGGTACACATTGGACGTGTTTTGGGGGGTTCTTGGAGCAAGTGGGATATTGGGGGTATCCACAATGTGTCTACAAGAATCGGGGGGCCCCTTATGATTAGTGTATAGGGAAACCAAAAACAATACTAAGGCCAAGCCAAAGCGCCTTAGATTCAGCTCTGAAGCAATTTTGCAACTGAAGATCTAAGAAACATGTGCCGCTGACCAGTTGAGCTAGGGAGACCGTATAAGAGCAGGATGCACCGCGCTCCTAAGTATTTGGACACCTTCAAAGGCGTCACAGCTGTCCCGGTTTGGTTGTGAATCAGCAAGGGATGCGAGTTGATTTGCTGCATCTCCACAGTCAACAGTTGGCATCGATTCAATTGGTTGTCATCCTTTGAACGTTCTTTGTGTAGTTTGTTTCGATCAAGCGGGTCTGACAGGGGTTTTGACGTGCGTTTATACGTGTCCACTTCATCCCCACATTTCTCACCCATCGCTCTTTTGAAAAGCAAATCACTGGGAATATTAGTGTCGTGCATTGAGCAGGTTGAACAGATGGATTCCTATGTTGTTTACACTTTGATTCAAAAGAGCGATCCCTATGTTGTTTGCTTGGTTTTCCAAAGAAAACAATCCCTGGAAAGCATGAGTATAGGTGGCTAGATAGTTATATTGAGCCAGCCGTTTCGCTGCTTCGCAGGCGGCTGCCTATATCCAATCTCTGGTTTCCCGGCGGCACGCTTCCAGTTTGCTTCCCGAAATCGTCACAGTCCTGATTGGTGTATTTCTTCAAATAGTTGGTGCCCCGCAAAGTTGGTAATTGGATTGGTATTTTTTTTTGGATGCCACGAAGCTGGCTCCTAGATCAGATTCACTGGCCAAGCTTCCCAAACAAGCGAACCCCTTCAAATGCTCAACCACCGGATGCCCTTCTTTAGACCCTTCTGGTGGGGGCTCCTGAAGGAAAACGCGGAAGCAACAGTCACTCGGGCGTGAGATTTGATTTGTTTCGAGTCTTTGAGTTAAGATTGGTTCGTGTTGGCTTCGTAGTGGTGTAGCTTGCCGTGTACTGATTCGAACTTTTTGTTTGGTTGTATTCTTTCGGCCACGGATTCCTGGTACAAGCGTGATGAAATGCGGGCCATGGCTTTATTGTTAATCAACCTGCAAGCAATTGTTTTGCATTTGGTACGCTTTGCGTTTTTTGTATTCGTGGTGGTGCGGGGTTGCTCAGTAATTTTGGATTTTGTGTCTGTATGTGGGACCCTTTGGTGATCGGGCCTGTCAATTGGTAGGTTGATTCATATTTTTTGCTCACTAAGTGGTGGGAAGGACGCAGTTGTCTCGCGTATTTCACCCTTAGAATCCCTCTTTGTTTGTCGGGTTCTGACTAAGACGGTCAACGTTCCCCTCTTTACCAGGATTCAGTGTCCGCACAGGCGGGAGCCGCTTGAATATTGACAATCTTTGCAGTGGTGTGCTTGTCTAATATCGGTACATTTGAAAATGTCAGCACATTGTGTCTGTCATCTTGGTGGGGCGCAACATGACTGTTCCAGTTACGTAGTTCCTTTGCAGATCTTTGGGACAAAACATGCAGACTTCCTAAAGGGGCCAACGCAGATGTACTGCTGTTTGTGCCTTTGCTGAGGATGGCATCCTGTCCGATGCGGAAGGCCAGATAAAGAGGGACTCCACAGCAGCTTTGGGGTTCTTGGCGGTTTGCACCAGCTGCTAGTGTGTTCTTTCAACGACATCAGCTGTGACACTGCCTTGCAAATGGAAAGACACATGTCGTGTGCTTTCAAATGCTTTTCGTGCAAGAGCGCCTTCTTTCTTGTTTGTGTGTCATACCTATGGTCCTTTGGCTTTTTGGGTGGTACATAAATTGTTGTAGTTTTAACTTTGTCACCTTGTCATCCATCTCTATCCAAGCTTAGGCCTGATGCCCTCTCCAAACCTCTGGCCATGGTGACATGGATGTTGTCTTGGTGAGGCGAGGTGATTCTTAGGGCTCCTGGCTCTGGGATCTCTTGGATGGATGGATGGATGGATGGATGGATGGATGGATGGAGCGACCTGCAGGGCTTGAGCGGCCAACGGAAACCGTCCCTCCCGCCATCGCAGGGCAGCCTCCGTACACGTCATTGGCCCGGAACTGAATTGTTGCATTGATTGGTTGAATCGTTGCATATCCCTTCAAGGAAAGCTACGGTATGTTTCAGGGTTTCTTGTACCTGCGTTTTTTGGTGGCTAACGTCACGTTGCTGGACAATGTTTATTGGGTGAATGTTGCTTTGATGTGAATGATGTTTACCGGTTGGAAATAACAGGCAGCCTGGAAAACCTGCCACCAAAGCAAGTAACTTATAACGAGGTCACCCGACCTCACTGTGAATTCGATCTAGCAATCCTGCAGCAAGAGTCTGGGAGAAATCCTGCTGTGTCATGTATTTAGTGGGCAGGACCTCCATGAATGATAGCTCCGTGGAGCCGCGTTTTGGCATGCAAATTGAGCTGCTCTCCGTTGCGTCACCCAGAATTTGACTTTCGGGTCCAACCTCTTAGAAAGGAGTTGCCCTGGTCGACGGGGTTTTCAGAAGTTGCCGTGTTGAGGCGCAGCAGTGCCACGATCTAAGTTATTTCAGATCGACCTTTGAAATAAGAGTTTGACCTGACGACCTGGGAAGTACAATACACGTAAAATACAGCAACTAGGACATTGGGTGGTTGTTTGTACGCACGGCCCGTGCGGGAGTTTTCACGGCAGGCGCATGGTACTCCGCGGAAGTGCGTCGCTTCTTTCAGATCCGTGGGAGCATGCGGCCCGGCAGATCGAAAGCGGTCGGGACAGAGGACACGGCTATGAGACAGGGCGGTGGAAAGGTGTTAGTGGGAGGACTCTTGCGTCAATAATGTTCAACTCTGATGAATAAAACTTAAAACCCCTAGTTACGAGTTAGAAAAGGGTCCCCCTGCAAAAACCTAGTTCTCACTAGACAGGGACCCCCTTAATAATTAAGTCAGGGGTCGACAATAAGTTCCCCTTTTGGCTTCCTACTTTGTGTGCATGTCATGAACCCTGTTTGTCTACCATGATGTCAATGTTTTGTCAAGCACTGTGTCTGCATTTGTACATATGCGACGTCTCTGCCGAAGTGATGGGTCCAAAATATACATCACTCTAGGTTTTTCTTGGCCGTTTTTCTGTCATGTAGAGCCGGACTTGGACTGAGCCACCTCGTGCCCATCGACCTGAAGGTTTGTTTTCCACTGTATGCGACAAAGGGTAAACCAGTTTTGCCTGGCACTTGCAGCCTTGGCAACTGACGCATGGTGTGCTGTTCTGGGTGGGCCTCAAACGGCGGCTCCCGGAGGTGGGACGGCCTCAGACGCCTTTGTTAGGTCCATAGGTCGCAAGCTGTCACGTGTGCAAATTCGCGGTTCTTTTCAGTGAGCGCTCTTTGTTTTTATCAACAAAGGTCTTAAATCATTAAATCAAACAAGTTCTGTTGTCTTGGACGTTGAGCATGTTTGCACGGCTTTTTCCGTATGTTCAGAAGGCCTAGTTGTTTGTCCTTGGTTCGGAACCGCTTACGGCGCCAACCAAAGCCGTCTTGTGGATGGAGGACTGGTACATGGCTCATCATGACCCCTTTCAAGCCCTGAAAGCCATCCTCAAAGGGTGCTGGGGTTGGACAGTTGTGTGTTGAGCCATTTCAGCTCCCAGAAAAGCATTATATATGCTGTTTTTCTCTGGGAAGTACCACAGGCGCGTATTTTTTGTGGTCTGGGGGTTGTCGGGCCGAAGTTCCCACTCATGAACCCCTCCCCCCCCAGGCGCGACCGGCGACTCTTGGCGCGTTATGGCGAGCGCGAGCAGTGAGGCAGGAGTGTGGTGGCTAAGCAATGAACCTTCCGCAGTGCATCCCAGTTACCATTCTAGTAGGTAACCAGCGATCTTGCATCATTTTCCTTTTGATGTGTAAAGGGGTGGATCCCCTGGTTGCCTACCAGAGAGGGGAATGCAATCGCTGGGATAGCTCCAAGTTGAATCAGAACGAATTCTTCACCTGGTGCCACAGAAAAGTTTGAACAACATCCAACGTCATCTGGGCAATGGACTACTCCCAAGCTGGAAATCGGGGAGCCGCTACCCTTCGAACTGAAGGTGGTTACACCGAACAATCCTAATTGAAACCAATCGGAGGCGACTATTCCTGGCCATTCACACCTCGGTGAAGTTCGCTGCAGGGCAAAAACCCTGTAAGGCCGCAGATTTGGGGACCAAGTTACTGCTGCTGCTACTACCACTGCTGCTACTACTAATTGCCACTATCAGTACCAGTACCACTAACTACTTCTACTAGCGACTGCTACTACGATGACCACCACCAGCACCACCGAAACTACTAGTACTACTACTGCTACCGCTGCTACTACGAATACTCTCCTTCTGCTACTTCTCCGTATGTGCGGCTCGTGGACAGAAAGGCTAAGCTAAGCCGTCCAAGCAGGCGGTGGCACCACAGGCCGATTCGGACACGGGCCTAAGACTAAACCTTTGCAACAGTAAAGCCTGATGACAGCGCCGCTAGCAGGCATATTTGTTCAAGAAGGGGTTTCAGCAGATGCCGAATTCGGGGGAACTACCCGTTAGTTGACTTTTGCAATTTCAGCACAAGCTGGGCAGCTCAAGTGCACCCATTAGTGCATGGGATCTCTGGCAGGTCTACGCCCCAAGCGTCCCGACGCGTGCAGCCAGTGAGGCGGCCGCGTAGGCGTTCCCAGTGTGCCAAGGTCAAGCTATGCGGGTTGTCTCAGATAGGGATCGTAAAAAGCCTGGGTGTCAGTTCGTGCCAAGTTGCAACGGCCAACATCTCCATAGTGTCAGTCGGTGCTAATCATGTTTCCTTTTTGTCAACTTTGTCGCTGGCATGCGCATGTGCGTGTCCCTCGATAAGAGCGCTTCACCCTCGGCGCGATGAGCCACTAAACCTTTTGGCCATGGCAAACATCGGTGAACCGCCGCTACCAACTCTTTGACTGAGCTCTATTGTCCAATGGCGCAGAAACCGGATTTGATGTGGTCGACATGAGGGACCCCGTTGCGAGCCCATGTTTGGGCAGGGAAATACATCCCATGGGTTCACCCGTGCAGGTTCTGCTTCTTGAGCTTTGACCGTGGCGTGTGTACATAGGGACTGACTGGAGTGTGGGGTGACGGCTGAAAAAAGGGAGTGTCTTGGGGCTGACGGAGGCAGCGTGTGTCATGATGTTCCAAGATACCAGCAAATAAACTCCATGCTGTGGTCCAAAATCACTAAACATTGTCCAAATGGGTGGATCCCTTGCTTGTTTTTATGCAGGTGTTTGGGAGGGACATGGGGGGACTCACCAAAATGTGTCACAAAAACCAGGGCACTCACCAAATTCTCACAGATACAGGGGATTCGCTAAGCTTCCCAAACAAACAGGAGGCGTGACAAGCTTCCCATGTCCTTTTGGGGAAATAGGTAGTTGTGACTCGTGACCATACCTCCGATATCCTCAATATGGCCTGCCGGTCATGCGCCCACACTCCAGCCAATTGCCCCCGGGACGCCTGCACGGCGGCTCTCGTAAAAAAAAGGCGGCGGCGCGCGCGAGCGCCGCATTTACTTCTTCAGAGCAGGGGCTGGTCTTGTGACCCCCCGCGGCTGAAAGTAAAGTAACAACTCACTTCTTGAGTCAATGGACTTTGAGCTTTTGGAAAGATCATTTTGGTCAAAAGTCTGGACTTTTCAGCGCTGCAAGCTTTGGAGCAGCAGCTGTTGGCCATGAAATCCTTGACGTCTGGTTGTGGCCGTTTGCTGCCCACATTCATGTCTGTAGGTGTTCAAGAGGACATTGACGGTTCTTTTTGTTTGGTTTCCCCTTGCAACCGTGGAAACAAGGACCTCTAGTTTGAGAAGCACCCACGTAGTTATGACTGTGAAATGGTTGTTTTGTGTGTTTCCACAAAATGATAGCTTATTTCGAGCGGTGAAGCACAAGCGGCAAGCTGACTCGCCCAAAGCGATTAAATGTTGATCCACTTGTTCGAGTTCGATTGATCCATTGCAAAAGCTGCACAGCTGATTTCCTTGTGTTTTTCTCTTCTTTGGGCACGTGTGTTTGTCACATCAAACAGTTTCAGGTAGGTCAAATTATGTTTTCCTTCCAGATCTGTGTTTTCCCCATTTCGATTTAACTTTTAGCACTTTCCATCCAATCTGAACGAAGCTTGCGAGACTTCCTTCGTTGATGTAGCTTCATACAATTTCCCCTCGGGTCCCGGGCAAGCATCTTGAGGGAGCGCTTCTCTTTTTGGTATTTTGGGTCCCGATGGTGTCCACCATGTTTAGTGGGGACTTTTGTTTGAGGATGTCACTTTAATGACTTGGCTCCCTGCCTTGTGTGCTTTTGTTGTTTCCTTGTGGTTTGTGTATCCCCTGGTCCGACGCAACGAGACAAGCTGAGAACACGGGCTTTGCTGCATCTCAAACTACTGGAAGACTCGCTAGCTTGTGCCCAACTAACTGTCTCTCCCTTGGAATAGCTGGGCTATTGACTCGTTTGAACAACCCATCTCAGACCTCCAGAGCAATCCGTTTCTCTTTTCACCAGGAAAGTGTGGCTTTCTTCCCGTAGCCGGAGGTTGACATCGATTCCCCAAAAAGGCACCCGTGCGCCTCTAAGATAACTTAGAGGCACCATGGTCAAAAGGCCTACTTGGGATTGGTAGGGATGATGGACGTCTGTATAGCGAGTTTTGACATCCATCAGGATTTCTTCTGAGGAAGCCGTGACCATGCGCCAGGAATCGAGACCATGTCACATTATATATATATATATAATATTATGGCAAACCTGTGTCTTCCAAGCAGAGCTTCCAAAGCAAGGTGGGGTCCACGTCTGGCCAACTATGAGAGGGGAAATACGTGTGTCTCTAAACATTGTCATGAAGCCTGAAGGGGTGGGGGGGTTCCATCTCCCTATCAGGACATACTAAGTTTGAGGGGTTGATCAATGAGTCTGGCAGGAATGTTTCTTCACATCCTGATGTCAGTAGCGAGGAATTTTCTTTGTTTAGCGCTTTGCCATAAATGCTCACAGGGCGCAGCCGGATGTCCACCAAGCGGTGACATGTCCATAAAAGACATACCCAAGTGTGTCCTACTGTCGACCTAGGTATTGCTTTACGATTGTGGGCGCACTACCAGCCACTAGTAGTGGCAGGGGCTCCAGCTAAACGGTTCGGTATGCTCCGAGCCTTTAAAAACACCACCAAAGCACAAGGTTGGAAAACCTTACCGATTTTCTTCCCCAGCCGAGTTTCCCTTTACCAGACTTTGTGGAGCACTGTGGAGCCAGCCCTGTGAAATCTCATTTCTCTTTCGCAGCCCTGGCTCCAGCGCCAACAACGAGACGCGCGCAACCCGGGCGTATCACCCGAGCCGATTGGGAGCCGGCAGAGCCCTACGGCAGGCGCATACGATAGGGTGGAGCTGAATGGCCACGTGTTGTTGTTCCTGTTGCTTTGGATACATGCTATATATGCATATGAACAGATTCACACACACATATTATATATATATATACATGATTTGTGTGTGTGTGTTGCTTGGTTGCAAGACACAAAGGCGTTGTGTCATGGTTTATTTGGTACCAGCGTCAAATTCAAGGGGCAATGCTTCACTATCTGGTCCAGGCCTGTGCTGGCATTGTTGTTGCCACACACAACACCATCTGTGCTGTCAATGCGGCTGACCGCTAGTCGCTTTTGACGGAGGCCCTTCTAGCAGGGAGACAGGAATCATTTTTAGACCTGAAACCCAGTGCCCTCCGCTTTCCACTGGCTTCCTTTGAAGTGTTCACGTTGCCAAAGGCAGGAACTTGGGTTCCCAGACCAGTGGCACCAGGGCGCGTCGATTTGAATCTAAGCACCGCCTGCTTTTCCCATGGGCACAGGGCTGCTGAGGTTATTCTCCCTCACTGTGGCGACTTTGATCCAGAAGCAAAAATGCCTGCAAATTGAGGTGTTTTTAGCTTTGCAAGGCGATGGCGGTTCCTTTCTGAGTGGCTTAAACTGCAAGCAGCTTGTAGATGCGAAGCGCGATGGCGCATGTGTGTCCTTTCAGACTAAATTGAATGACCACACTGGTCAAAGAAGGTCCTTTAACATGCATCAACATCCTGCGGGTGGTTTGTTATTGCGGGGAAACGGTCATGACGCAGTCAACTCTACCGGAAAAATATCATCGGATTGGAACAGGGGTGCCCTCCGCCCTAGGCCCTCATTGCGTTCGGGGTAGAACTTAGTTTGACCATGGCCATTTTGACCAGGGTTCAACATGTTATGAGAAACGGATAATATTATGTGGGGTCTGTTGTTGATTTGGGACATGGGGGCCTACCCAGTTTGCTCTGGTTCCTCACAAAGCCGGGGACCTACCCAAGTGAACCAGTAGTAGAAATATTAGTATTGTCCGTTACTCTGATGGGAACCTTCAATATGCAATTGCTTTCCCTTTCAAAGAACACAGAGGGCAATAAAGATCACTATATGATCATTTTTTGTATATTTGTTTCATTGTTTTGACTATTTTAATTGAAGTTCGCCACAACCCCTTTCAGGTTGTATGGGCCCATATGCTACCAAGCTCAGGCACAACCACCCATGTCGTTTGACCCATCTCACAGGCTCTCGCCGGCCGTGATTCGTTTGCTCAGACTGATGTTATTGAGTCGCTCGCCGTGTGTGCGCGCGACCGGGCGATGTATGTGGATGATGTGCCAGAAGCCAACATGGTGGCGGTTGCGCTGCTTCTGATTTGTTTGCCCTTGCACTGGAGCTTGACTAACCTGAGCGTGAAGCGCCTTTGGGCGCCTCGGATGCCCTTCCATGGCCTGTGAATTGCTTGATGCTAACCTGTTCAATATGGAGGGATGGCAAATCCAATGTGCTCTCCCCTGCTGGCATCAGGGGAGCAAATCCGTTCAACAGGGATGGTGATTGTATTTGCATAGAGTCAGAGATTCTGCCATGGATTCTCCGCGGGGCTGCACCCTATAAAAGTCTTAAGGCCTCACTAGGGGCTTGTCCTTGGCTAATCCCAAGCAGGGATAGGCCCTATACCCCACTTGGAGGTCGATTGCCCAGATGTCAACCATGTGTTGTTAAACATCATTTCTTTCTTATTCGGGCGTCCTTTCTCTATCTTATTTATGTACGTGTTTATTGTTGTCTGTCTTTATGCATTAATGTATTCATTTACTTTGTTTTTGTGTATTTATTATCTGTCTTTATTGTCTTATTGATGTATGTTGTTATTTCTTTGTTTTTGGCTATGCGTGTGTTATTATTTAGTTGTTGTTTATGTATTAACCAGGCTCCCGCCTGCTGCCGCCGACCCTCGGCGCATTAAGGGAAAAGTCACAAGGACCGGTCCTGCAACACGTCCGCAAACCCAGGGACCACTTATAAGATCCTCTAGGATCACAAACAAGGATTAACGGAAAAGTCAGAAATATGGCAGCTAGTCCGTTAATTACCGCTTGGGCCGGCTTGCGCCCAAGTCACTTCGAGTTGGCCCGGGAGCAGTCGCCTCTCCCGGGGTCGCCCTGAAACTTCGCCGGCAAGCTGGTCCCAGTCTGGCGCGGTTTGACTCGACGTATTGGACTCTCTTGCAGAATAGATCCAGGGATCCTCTACTACCACAAGGATTAACGGAAAAGTCAGACAGATGGCAGCTTGTCAATAACCGCACGGGCCGGTTTGTGCCCAAGTCACGTTGAGCTGGTCCTAGAAACAAGGCCGTCGGTGCCCCTCAGCCGGTCGCAGGGAGTGACTGGGACCTGGGACCCTGTCCAGTGTCCTGAAACACGGGTGCCAGTCCGGAAAGGTGTCTGGAGCGGTTTGAGGCACCACAGCAGTTTGAAGTGGGATACCAGCAGTCACACCAGGCCCGGGACCGGCTTGAAAGCGGTCTTGGCCGGGACCAGTCCCAGGACCGGTCCTGAAACCGGTCCCGGGACCGGTCCCAGGACCGGTTTTGGCTGACTACAAGCAATCTGAAACAGCAGAACCAGGGTCCCAGGACCAGTCCCAGGACCGCTGGTCCCACAGTCCCGGGACCGGTCCTGGGAATCCACTTTTTGTGCGTTCGGGCGTGTCCCCCAGGGACTATCATTGATTCCAATAGTTGCATCCCACGCCGGTCCCCTCTGCAGGAGGCTGGGACGGGAGGCAGAGGGTCGGCGGATTTCCTTATTGGCTCATTTACGAATGGCTGTATTTATTAGTGTGAGTGTGTATTGTTTTTAGTGTTTAGCATGTATTGTTTTGTTGTGTGTCTTTCTTTGTCTATATCTATCTATCTGTCTACCTATCAATCTGTCTTTCTATCTATCGACCTATCTGCCTATCTATCCTATCTATCCTATCTATCCTATCTATCCTATCTATCCTATGTATCCCATTTCTCGTACCTATCGTATGTATCGTATCTGTCCTATCTATCCTATCTATCCGATCTATCCTATCTACCCTGTCTACCCTATCTACCCTATATGTGTCCTATCTATCCTATCTATCTATCTAATCTTATCTTATCTTATCTTACCTTACCTTATCTATCTATCTATCTATCTTCTGAAAGCGTTGCGCCTGCCACGCAACCCAACACCTGACCTCGCAAAGGTGCGCGCTTGCCACGCAACCTGTTTTTTTTACCTTTCGAAAGTGCTCGCCTGCCACGAAATCTGCACCTCACAGTGCGAAAGCGCGGCGCCTGCCACAAGATCTGTACCTGACCTTTCGTCGTTGCTGCACTTGCCGCACATGGCCCTGCGACAGTGCAGTGCTTGCCACGAAATCTGTACCTGACCTTGCCAGCACCTGGCACGCACACGGATGTCGCGAACAGCGCGCAAGCCCATGCCAATGGGCCCTCCGCTCGCTCTCCGAGATCTCCGGCTAGGCAAGGTTTGTCTTCTGTCAGGGGGCTAGCTTTGAACTAGCTGCCGTATCAGGTTTCTTCTTACATTTATTTTGCTGTTTGCAATTGGGGGTGTCAACGCGAGCTCGACGTCTCGAGCCCAGGCATCAGTGTGGCCGCTCCTCTCGCGTATCACAGAGGATGGGCGACAGAACAGAACACTGATTGGGCGCATCCGGGTTTGGATTGGGCATACTTTCTCATGAAATACATATTTACATATACATATGTATTCTATACACATACATCAGGAAGAAAGCCGTATGAATCAGGAGTGGGACGGTCAATTATCACCCTCTTTTAAATGTAAAATACTTTAAAGGTTTTGGAGTGTGAAAATTCGACCACGAGTAACCCAGCATCAGCTTGCAGGATTCTAGGGGGAAAGGGTTGTGTTCTCTGAGAAGGCCTGAGAGGCGCAACTTTTGTCCTGGCAGTGTATAAAGGAATACTTGTAAAACGGTGGAGATTTCTAGATTTGTTGTTTCTGCCGCTGCTGGGCATGTTTTGCTCAAATAATCGGACCATGGTCCTCACAAAGGAAAACCCACAGGGTCTTCCACTTTGAATGGGCGCCAAAATAGGCAGGCCGAAATAGGTTGTTCCCTTAACAAAGACGGTCGGAGCGTCTCAGAAGGGGTTGGCCCAATCCTGATCGAGGTGCTGGCTTTGTTTGAGCGGCTGTGGCTGGTCATGGCAATTTGAGGAAGCAGCTAGCTTCCCGTGTGTCTCTGAAAGAAGCTTTAGATGGCAAAGTGTGGCCCCACAATACTTTTTTCAGTAGCTGCTGAGCCACTGAACCTGACCGCCCGGGTCGTGTGACGTGGTTTGTGCACACCCTGGAAGAGGTGGAGTGGCCCTCCGTTACCTTGTAGGGTGAAGGAAGGCCAAGACCCTACGCAAGATAACGGCGGGCCAAGCAGTGGACTTCATTCGCAGTCCGAGTTTGGTCCCCTTTGCTTTCGGGGAGGGCGGACTTGCCTAAATTCTCAAAGCTGTTCTTTTCCGAATGTTTGGGCAACCTAGGCTACTATAAGACGACATAAGGTGTAAGTAAAGGGAAGCCCATTTGTTGTACAATTTGGATACGAGTTTGGTCTGACTGGCATCCGTGCTTTTGTTTCGCCTGGTTCACGATCTGTTTACACCCGAAATCATAAAACAGTGTTAAGACATCGTAAATACTTCATATTTTTCTGTTTGATAAGAACTACGTACAATTTACGTGTTATTGTTTACGATTGCGGCTAGCCCCCCCGCCTTCAGGTGGAAGTGTTTTTTTCGGAGTCAAATAAAGGGCTTAAGGTGTAGAACAAATCATACATTTTTGGAAGTCGCACTGAAGCCATTAATAAAACCAATAATCAGGAGAACACCAGTCTGGCTGACAGCGCAGGTCACGACTACAAGACACAAACCGCTGAAAAGAATTCCCAAGCCGCCTTCGTTATTCGCTTTTGCTTAAGGTGACCTTGCTATATTTTGGTCAGATTGACTCATTGCAATCATTGAAATCCTTTGGCCAGCTTTCGGATCTGTTCCGCTCTTGTCCAGAAGAGTTACATGCTTCGCGAAGGCTAACGTGGTAGCAAAACCGAAGTCTGCTTAAAGGAAACCTTGAAGCGAAAGTGTTTCCAGATTCCAGACCATCTTCCGTCGTTTCACCTGCCAACCCGCTAAAAAAAGAAAAGTGAGGGCGACTAACCACGGCGTCTGGGGTTTTGCCATGGTTTGGCCCTGGTTTGATCATGTTGCAAGTTCACCCAAAAAATGATTTGGTTCCGGCAGGTGAGCTGCAGTCTCTTGAGACGGGCCCCGACTCTTCAAACAAGGTCTTCAAGCCTAAGAAGGGGGTGCATAGGTCATTTGGAGGTTGTGCAGATTTGCATAACGACTTGTTCTTGACCGGGAAGCCTGCAAAACGTCAAGCACATTTCGGCCGGCCTTTGTCTACGGGGCTGCGAACTATCCTTGGCAACAAGCAGGCAGGTTTTGAAATCAGAGCTTATCATGAATCCGCAAACATATGTCTTGCTTGGCCGACCTCTTCTGCAATGAGAGACGTCACGCAAAGGAGACAGTGCAGAAGCTGCGCTTCATCCACCCGCGGAGCCCAAGCAGCCAGCGTCAGCACCGAGCTGCATCTTTACGCAGCAAAGCTAAAGCAGCCCGCAGCTTCTCCAAAACCTTGCAAGGTTGACAGCTGTATCTTGACGCCAGCAAAGCCAAAGCAGACCGCAGCTTTTGCGAGACCTTGCGAGAAG